ATATATATAAATTTTATTGTTCTAAATATTCAATGCTGCAGTCTTGCCTTGAGTATACTACTAGTGGTCTATGGACTTTATAGTGACATGTTTTTATTATCATTGCTTTATTAGCACTTCTCCATTGAGCCAGTTGATCCAAATGTATTTTAATAGTGAAATTGTTTTATTTTTAGTTCCCAAGTGCATAGACATGTGTGTTTGATTATTGTTACTGATTCCTAGTTTTATTGCATTGTGGTCAGGGTATACAATTCATATGATTTTTATTTTTCAAACTTTATTGATTATTTATGGCTTATTGGAGAGGTTAATTTCATGAATGCTCTGTGTACACTTGGGAATTATATGTAGGGGTAGGTTCAATCCCTGTTTAGGGTGCATGCAAGAGGCAGCCAGTTGTGAAAAGGAAAACCCCACAGAGCTGCTGGAGCTCAGGGAATCTAGACCTGAGACCACAGGCACAGGGGGTGCACCCCAAAAGACACCCTGAAAAATGGCCCACGTGGCATGGTGCTGGGAGGGGAGAGAGGGGAGAAACACGCAATTTTGTGTTTGTTTTGTTTTGTCTTTGCTTTTATTTGCTAAACCCATAATATAGGACTTTCAGCTGTAAAAACTCACTCAAGGCTCCAGTGCAGGGACAGGCACTGATTTGTGGAGACTGAGGAGAGTCTAGGAAGGGAGGCAGGGCAGCAAGACATGCCCAAGATTCTTCCTAACCCTCCAAACAGAAGCGGCCATTTCTCCCCAGAAGAGCTAGCATCTCCCAGTGGCCTCAAAGCAGGGAATATAGCTTGCCACACCCTGACTTCTTGTAGCCCAGTCCTGTGGAGACAGACACAAGCAAAGAAGCAGTGGATCACCAGACAGTGTCTGACAGTGGTCAGAACCTAAATACCTAACAGGGAGCCTAGAATTGACAGACAGAACAGAAGAGTGGGGTCCTAAACCAGCCTGCATGGGGCATTAAAATGTAGCTGAAGTGAACACTTCACTTTTAAATTTTGTTAAATTTTCTTTTTACTTTTTTAATATTATATTTATTTTATTTTTATTCTATTTTATTTTCTTCTTTTATTATTTTCCCCTTTCACCTCTATCTTCCTCACTTTTTCCTTTTTCATCCTCTTTTTCTTCTCCTTTCCCTGATTTAGCTTTTCCCTTGTCTTTTTTTTTTACCTTTTGTTAAAAAGTGATCTTTGTTATCTGCTTTATTGATGTATTATTACTATTGTAGTCTCTGTTGGCTTATTTAAATATCTAATTTCCTCCCCTCTGCTTTACTCCATTTCCCCTTCTCTTTTCTCATTCTTCACAAATCATTTTTCTTTTTTAAAAAAATTTCCTCTCCTCTTTCTCCTTTCTATTCCTATTTTTTTTTTAGTTTCACCTCCTAAATTCAAGACTATCTTCTCTTTCCTCTATTCTCCTTTTCAATAATTAAATAAATACTTTTATTTTTTTATTTTTATCTCTTATCTACTCATTCTCTTTCTCCTTCCTCTATATTAATAGGTCCTTCCCCTATTTATTCAATTCCTTAACCTTATTTTCTGTATTTAAGTTCTGCCTCTAACAGATTCTGCACAGCCCCCTTCTTCTGGGTGTTTTTTGTTTGCTATTTTTGGTTTATTTGTTTGTTTTGTCATGTTATCTCCCTATATTCATTCTTTTTATTTTCTTTTCTTTTTATCTTTCTCACTATAATTTTTGTTCCTTTTCTCTCTCCTAATTCTCTTTTCTCTGGTGGGCACTTTTATTGGGGTTATAGCTGTATTGTCTTCTATTCTTTTGTGTATGTCTTATGTTGTATTTTGTGCTGTTTGGTTAGCACCTTCACAACAGTTGGCACAATGAGGTAGAGAGTGTGCCACATAAACAGACAACCTGAGAGAAGACTATATCCACAAATGGGATAATAACATTCAAGATCCAACTACATCAAGTGAACCCAAATATCTTAAGTAGGTGGAATCCATTGAATACCCAGCCCAGAAGATCTGAGATACTGAACCATTGTGTTCCACAAAACATCAACTACATAAGACAAATTCAAAAATTCTGGGTGGCATATCTGTTTGATCTAATATATACAAACAATTACAAAGGAACAACAAAAATGGAGAGACAAAGGAAAAAAAAAACCTATATGAAAGACAATGAGAAATCACCAGAAAAGGGGATAAATGAAATGGAGGCAAGTAATATGTCAGAGAAATAATTCAAAGTAGTGGTTATAAGGATACTAAGAAGGCTGAATGGGAAATTAACTGACATGTATAACAATCAAGATGAAATGAAGAATGACATCATTTCAATAAAGCACACAATGGAAGATTTCAACACTAGACTAGGAGAGGCTGAGGACTGAATCAGCAACTTAGGAGACAAGGTAGAAAAAAACAACAACAATCAGAGCATCAATGAAAACAAACAAACAAACAAAATACTTAAAAAGCAGGGGGAGACTCTAAGGGGGCTTTGGGACAACACAAAACAAAACAACATCTGCATAATAGGTGTACCAGAAGGAGAGGAAGCTGAGCAAGGAATAGAAAATCTGTTTGAAGAAATAATGCCCCCAAAAGTCCCTGAGTTTGGGAAGAAAAATGTTACATAAGTATAAGAAGCACACAGAATCCCAAACAAGATGAACCCAAAAAGACCGACACCAAGACATAGCCTAATCAAACTGGCAAACATCAATGACAAAGAAAGTATCTTAAAAGCTGCCAGAGAGAGAGACAGAAATTTACCTACAAAGGGCATCCTATTAGACTATCAACTAATTTCTCAACTGAAACACATCAGGCCAGGAGGGAATGGAATGAAGTAGAAGTATACAAAGGGATGCAAAGCAAGGGACTGAATTCAAGAATACTGTATCCAACAAGACTATCATTCAAAATAGAAGGGGAAATTAAGAGCTTCAGAGAAAAAAAAAGGAAGAAAGATTATTACTATCAAATCAGCGATGCATAAAATGCTAAAGGGACTGATAAAAAAAATGAAACAGAAAGGGAAGATGAAACACAGGCATAAAAAATATGGCAACAAACAAGTACCTGCAATAATAACCTAAATGTAAATGGATTAAATGCTCTAATCAAATGACATTGGGTAGTAGAATCGATAAGAAAATATGACCCATATATATGCTGTTTACAAGTGACACACCTCAGAACAAAGCCCTCATAGAGACTGAAGGTGAAGGGATGGAAAAACAATTTTTTTCAGGCAAATAGAAGTAAAAAAAATGCTGGGGTAGCAATACTTTTATCTGAAAACACTGTCCTCAAATGAAGGCCATGACATGTGATAAGGAAGGCCACTTCATAATGTTAAAGGTATTGATTCAACAAGAAGATATAAGTCTGGAATACATATACGCATCTAGTGCAGGACACCCAAATACATAAAAAAACCTTCCAGAAGATATCAAGGGAGAGATCAATAGCAATCACAGTAGGGCTTTTTAATATCCCATTGACAATACTGGATAAATCCTCTAGACAAAAAATCAGCAAAGAAACAGCAATCCTAAATGAGTCATTGGATCAGATGGAATTAATTGACATTTTCAGAACATTTCACCCCAAAGCTAAGGAATATACATTCTTCTCAAGTGCACATGGGAAATTTGGAAAGATAGACCACATATTAGGACACAGGTTAAGTCGCTATAAATTCAAGAAGCTTGAAATCATATCAAGCATCTTCTCAGATCACAATGGCATAAAATTAGATATCAACTACAATGAAAGCAGTAAAAAACAATCAAACACATGGAGACTAAATAGCATGTTATTAAATAACAAATGGGTTACCAAAGAGATCAGAGAAGACATAGAAACATTCTGGAAACAAATGAAAATGAAAACACAATAATCCAAAATTCTATGGGACACAATGAAAGCAATCCCGAGAGAGAACTTCATACCACTAAGGCCTACCTCAAAAACACACACACAAAAAAACCTTGTAATAAGTTATCTCACCCAGAAACTGAAAGAACTAGAAAGAGAGTAACAAGAATAGCCCAGAGTAAGTAGAAGGAAGGAAATAATAAAGATCATAGCAGAAATAAATGACATAGAGATTAAAAAAATACAAAATATCAATAGAACCAAAATCTGGTTCTTTGAAAGAATAAACAAGATTGATGAACCTCTATCCAAGTTCACCAAGAAATAAAGAGGACCCAAATAAACAAAATCAGAAATGAAAGAGGTTAAGTAACAACCAACCCACACAAATACAAAGGATTATAAAAGGTCCTACAAACAACTCTACCCCAAAACTGGACAACGAAGACAAAATGGACATATTCCTAAAAAAATACAATCTTCCAAAACTCAATCAGAAAAAATCAGAAAACCTGAATAGGTAGACAACTACCAATAAAATTGAAGTAGTAACCAAAAATCTTCCTGCAAACAAAACCCCTGGTCCAGACAGCTTTACAGAAGAGTTCTACCAAACACTCAAAGAACTTAAACTTATTCTCCTCAGACTATTCCAAAAAATTCAAAAGGAAGGCACACTTCCAAGCTCTTTCTATGCAGCCAGCATTACTCTAATTTCAAAACCAGATAGAGATACTAAAAAGAAAGATAATTACAGGCCAATATCCCTGATGAACATAGATACTAAAACTCTTAACAAAATATTAACAAATCACATCCAACAATACATTTAAAAGATCATACACCATGATCAAGTGGGATTTAGTCTGGGGATGCAAAGCTAGTACATCATATAAACTGATGTGAAAGACAAAAAGCACATGATTATATCATTTGATGCAGAAAAAGCATTTGACAAAATCCAACACCCTTTTTTTGATAAAAACTCTCAGCAAAGTGGGAATAAAGGGATCATATCTTAACATAATAAAAGCCTTACAGGACAAACCTATAGCCCACTTCATACTCAATGGGCAAAAACTAAACACATTTCCCCTGAGAATGAGAACAAGACAGGGATGCCCACTTTCAGCACTCCTGTTTGATATAGTACTGGAAGTGCTAGCCATAGCAATTAGACAATGAGGAAAAATAAAAGGTATCCAAACTGGGAAAGAAGAAGTAAAACTTTCATTATTCATTGATGACATGATATTGTACATAGAAAACCCTAAAGACTCTATCAAAAAACTGGATTTAATAAATGAATTGGCAACATAGCAAGATACAAAGTTAACACCCAGAGGTCTATGGCTATTTTATACACCAATAATGAACTCACAGAAAACAAAAATAAAAGCAAACAAAAAAGCATTTAACATTGCAACAAAAAAAGTAAGATACCTAGAAATAAACTTAACCAAGGTGATAAAAGACCTTTACTCAGAAAGCTATTGGACATTGAAAAAAAGAGATAGAGGAAGCTACAAACAAGTGGAAGAATATAACATGTTCATAGATTGATGAATCCACATCATTAAAATGTCAATACTACCAAAGCAATCTATAGATTCAATGGAATCCCAATTAAAATTCCAATGGCATAGTTCAAAGACTTAGAACAAACCCTCTAAAAATTTATATCGAATAAAAAAGAACCCAAATAGCCACAGCAATCCTGAGAAAGAAGAACAAAGTTTGAGGGTCACAATACCCAGATATCAAGCTATATTACAAAGTCACTGTTCTCAAAACTGCCTGGTCCTGGCACAAGAACAGACCAACTGAACAGAACAGAGGACCCAGAAATCAACCCACGACATTATGCTCAATTAATATTTGACAATTGAGGCAAGAGAATACAATGGAGTCAAGACAGTCTCTTCAATAAATGGTGTTGGGGAAATTGGACAGATACATGCAAAAAAAATGATACTAGACCACCAACGTACACCATACATAAAATTAAACTGCAAATGGAAAAAAGATTTAAATGTTAGATGGGAAACCATAAAAATCTTAGAAGAATCCATAGGCAGCTTAATATCAGTCATATGTCATAGCAATATCTTTACCAATACATCTCCTACTACAATGAAAGCTAAGGAGAAAATAAACAAATGATGCTACATAAAAATAAAAAGCTTTTGCACAGCAAAGGAAGCCATCAACAAACCAACAAGAGAACCCACTGCATTGGAGAACACATTTGGCCAAGGTTACATCCGATAAGGGTTTAATCTCCATAATTCATAGGGAACTCATAAAACTTAATAAAAGGAAGATAAACAACCCAATCAAAAAATGGGCAAAAAGCCTAAATAGACACTTTTCAAGTGCTGGTGAGGATCTAGAGAAAAAGGAACTCTCCTGCACTACTGGTGGGAATGCAGACAGGTGCAGCCACTGTGGAGAACAGTATGGAGTTTACTCAACTAATTAAAAGTGGAACTCCCATTTGACCCAGTAATCCCACTTCTAGGAATATATGCTAAGAAATCAGAAACACCAATCAGAAAGGATATATGCACCCCTATGTTCATAGCAGCACTATTTACAATAGCTAAGATTTGGAAACAACCTAAGTGCCTATCATCAGATGAATGGATTAGAAAACTGTGGTACATCTACAAAATGGAATAGTACACTGCTATAAAAAAAGAAGGAATTCTTACCATTTGCAATAGCATGGATGGATCTGGAGAGAATTATGCTAAGTGAAATAAGCCAGCCAGAGAAAAATAAGTATCATATTATCTCAGTTTATTGTGGAATATAATGAACAATGTAAACTGATGAACACAAATAGATTCAGAGATATAGAAGTATGGAACAGATTGCCAAACCTCAGAGAGAATTCAGGAGAGGGGAGAGGGGGTAAGGGATCAATCAAAGGACTTATATCCCGGCATGTGAGCATGACCAATGGACACAGACAATAGGAGGGTGGGGGCTTGTGCTGGGGGTAGGAGTGGTTGGGAGAAGTCAATGGTGGGTAGGGGAGTGGAAGGAGACATATGTAATAATTTCAACAAAGAATTTGAAAAAAATAAGTTTTTTGCATAATTAATTGAACTAATAATATTGTTTAATTTTTTTCAAGTAAGAAGTTGAGATTTTTGGTAAACAAATAGGTTGATGACCAGCAGTAGTGAAAACAGTGTTCAAGTCAAGTAGCACTACAGGCTAGAGGAATAAAGGAAGAAACAAAAATGGAGAGGGAGAAGGATGTAGAAGAGATAAAGACAGTTCTGGAGTTTTTATTTTAAATCCTCACTGAGGACTTTTTTTCCATTTATATTTCAGAGAGAGAGTGGAAGCAGGTTGCCTCCCACACATGCCCCTAGCAGGGATAGAACCTGTGATTGAGGTATGTGCCCTTGACTGGAATCAAACCCACAACCCTATGGTCTGCAGGCTGGCACTCTAATCACTGAACAAAACTGGCCAGTTTTGGATTTTAATCCTGCCCACAAGACACAGAATTGTATCTTATTTAAATGAATGGGTGGTACCCAGTACAATTTTGGTAATCAGTGCATGTTTATTAATAATTATTGCAACTAACACAATAAACATAGTAAGAGAAATAATCAAGGATGAAAAAAGGGTTAGCAAGTTATCTTAATATAAAATAGCTCCATTTCCCTTGGTCTTCTCTCTTATAATTCTAAAACACTGGACATAACACCAAAAACCAGCAAAGAAAGACTCTGGCAGTTGGAAGGAAGACAAGCTGCACAGGCACCTTCAGCCTTGAGGAGCAACATGCCCAAGCTCCCTGGCTTTCTCTGTTGCTCCCACATCCTGGACAGGGAGCTGTAGGAGCAGCCAACCACAACTGCCAGTCGTCACTGACCAAAAATGGCCCAACAGAAGCCTGTTCCCCCCAGATGAAGGGCAGAGAAGAAGGCGGCCTAACAACATAAACCTTTTTGGCAATATTCTCACTCAGTCTCAAACACCAATAGAAAAACTGCGTAGTAAATAGCTGCTCTTACTCATTGTGAGTAGTGTCTGCAGGGTCTGGCTGTGAGTGGAAACAACCAGGTGGTGTGAGGAAGGAATTATTCTAAGTAGAAGTAGCATTACTTGACTCTATTTCTCATGCAATTTCACTCCTAAGCTCATTTCCTATTAACATGATTTAAAACAGAAAAGTATAAAGAGGAGAATTTAGGAAGGAGAGCTTAAGGGGAAGGACACATTGAGAACTATGGAAATCTTAAGGTATTTGAAGGTGTGCTGGAAGTGAATTTTAGATCATCTGATCAACAGTGAAGAAGCCATTAGGACTCTGAGCAAGAAAGAGGTGAAAGAGATACACAGTTTATATCATAAATGCGGAAAGGAGGATTTTCAGTTAAGAGAGAACTTTCAGTGGTGTTGCAGCAGATGATTTAAAGAGATGGGTTGATGAATTGCTCATATGTGCAAAAGCCTCTGGGACCTTCCTTAGCTACAATCTGCATTGACCTTCGCATCCAGGCCATGTTTGAATGAACCTCAGAACAATTTTCTTTCAATTTTTGACTCTTCTGGAAAGTGGGTGAAGAGTGTTATTATTCAAGGCAAGACTTTCAAAGAACAAAATATAGGTGTATCTTCAAGGGGTTTGAAATAAGTACTGAGATGATTTGAGAGAGTGGAGACATCAGAGCAGTGGTGCAGGCTCAAGGGCCTAAAGGCCGAATACATAAACTGACTTTTGTGCACAACTTGCTGACTGTGTCTGATTCTTGGTTGATATAAGGGTCAAAAAGTCTAATCAAATTTGTGCTGTTCTATTATACACTCAGATGGAGGAGATTCCCTCCGTTGGCATTTGAAATCCATATGGAAGCACACCATCAGCAAATTCCCTTGTCATCTGTCCTCTCTCCTCTCCTGCCTTTGCCCCTAAATGCCATGTGGGTGGTTTTCTTATATTTTAATGGACAGATATAAAGCTGGGGGTTGGACACTTATTACTGTGTGAAATTATAACCTGCCTTCATCTGCATTCAGAAATCACAAAGGGAAATAAAAAAGCTATGCCTGAATAATCCAGATGTTGATGAATACAAAGGCTCAGAATGCCCTTCCATCCTTCAAAAACATTCCAGTGCACAACCTACAATCTAAATTAAGACCAGAGGCAGGAATGAGCTCAACAACACTACATTCCTATAGTGCTCAGAAGAACAAGATCCAATTACATTATATATTCTCATTCAAAATATAGAATACATCAAAAATAAACTTCCTATTTTTGCAGGATCAGAAATCTCGTTCAAAAAAATAAAGCTCTTGTTTGTAGCAAATATGTTTGTTTTGTTTATGTTGCCTAATAATTCCCAGTCTAGAGGAGAAGTTAATATCCTTTAAGTAAAGACTAATATCTTTCTATGGAAGTGCCTTTCTCTTTTTCTTTTCTTTCCTTTTTTTTTTTTTTTTTGACCCATCTGGTTTGTCGGAAAAGTCTCCTACCTCTGATATTTATACAATATCATGCAAATGTCAAAATCTGAATGTCATCTTCAAAGACCCTTTTATGTCAGGCAACCCCTTTATAGGGAAAAAATAAACAATTTTATGTATGCATGCTTGATGCCAGTCCAATTAATAAAAGCCTTTTTTGCTATGCTTGGCTACAAGCAAGTTTCTCTTTTGAAAATGAACAGAGGGAGAATGAGATAAAAGGTCTGTATTGTTTCCTTGCAAATTTTACAGTTTCATTTTTAATTTGTGTTTGGATGTGAGGATCTTGGTGCAGATGGTGTGATAGTCCACAGTATGTTCTGAGAACCTGAAATGATAACAAAGATATGCAAATTGAGAGGGTGCTTTGGATAAAAGCCAAGATATCCAATTTCACAATAGCTGAAAACAAATTGATGTGCCCAGCACACTGTTCAGAGGAGCACTAGGAAATGTAACAGTGCCAAAACAAATTATACTAATGACCTCAGCCGTCAGTTGCATTCTATTGGCCAGCTTAATGTTGGTTACATTTGTCTGCACTGGCCCTTCATTTACTGCACAAAACAACTTTTCTAAAAAATACAAACCAAAACAAGACCAAGAGGAAAAAAATCAATCCTCATAATTGAAAAAATACTATACAACTACTTTTGCATCTCAGAAATATTTAGTAATATTTAATATATCAAAAAGTTAAAAATCCAAACAATAAAAATTTAAGGAAAATGTCTAAAGTTTATCATTTTAGGAGACTATATAAGTTCACATTACTTCACTGGGAAGTTTAGTCAAAATGACTAAACCAAAATGACTTTCAACAATTTTATGTAGATCAAGGCATATTTCAATAGATAATTTTCTAATTTCCATGTTTCAGAGCATAAAATGTGCTATTCCAGACAACAGGAGCAAAGAAAGGAACTAAACAAGAAAAAGAGGAAAGAAAAAAATACATTGTTATAATAATTGAAACTCATGATTATAAAATCTAATTCATAATGTACTATATGCAATTATAAGTATATATACAATTATTTAGCATTATTTTGTACTTGAAGTTAAATAAAAATACTGGATAGTGCTATATTTAGAAGTTCTTTTTCTACCTTCTCTGATATTGGCAAACTGTTCAATAGTTGCTGAACTCTAACATTCAATAAAATGTTGTAAATAAGAATGATATAATTCAAGACTGATGGAAGATGCTGACTTACATTAGATCAGGGGCCCTCAAACTTTTTAAACAGGGGACCAGTTCACTGTCCCTC